TCATAAATAGGGTAGGGAATATCGCAGATTTTGGTCATAAATAGGGCAAGGGTTTTGGGAAGCGGGCCGCACACCCCCGCCCAATTTTTCTGGGAGTACCCCCCCGGGTTTTCTACCAATTCTGTGATCCAGGTTCGACTTCAAAATAAGGTCTTAGATACGCTTATTTGATTTAATTTAATTACAGTAGTAACTCTTTTACAGAAACGTGTAATTAAGAACTACACTGTATTCCATGGTCTTTTTCAAGAACATCTTTTCACTTAACTGAAAGACGCAATGCACTATGTCCGCTAATTTCAATCGCATTTTAATTTTCAGTGCGCAAATAAACATAAAATTACGGGACTTTTATATTCATTTACAAGAGTTTCATTGGCGTATCACGTTATTATTAGCAAGGTTCCTTAAAAGATCAGTTAGGTAAAATAAATGGACGACTCGACATAAAGCTTACAGTACTCTATCGTTAACTTTGCTGACTGCTTTGCTAAAGGAGTTTCTGTTTTGTAAATGTTCCGATATTTGTATGCTTTTGAATCAACAGATTTGCAAACAGTTCTTCAGTAAAATTTAAATGATCGGTTTTCTTTAAGGAAACACACAAAGTACAATCATGTATAGTACCCTAATTTATTTTACAGCAGTTGTTTTTAAGCACCTGTCCTAAATAAATACCTGCCAAAATAACCMTCCTCTTCTCCGTCAAACGTTTTCATTACTATGTGGTCGCATTCACAGGTATCGTACGCTAGGGTTTCTAAAATCGGTGTTGCAGAACATAAATTGGTTCGTGCTTGTGTACTACAAAGCCGACAAATTAGCTTCTCAGTAAGCTGGTCACGGGTATCCCAAGCTCAGTGAGGGTCATTATAACATTAAGAAATAGCGACGCATGAATATTAATTACTCATGACCCTCGTTGCGAGAGATCGCATGGGAAATACTGCTGCCGCTTTAAAGTGCACGAAATGGCCAATTCCTCTGGAGAAGTGCCGGCAGGGAATCATTGTAGATGCATTCATCAAAACAAATATCCAGTCCGAGATGACGAGAGTTCATATTTTCGGTGAAGAAACCAACCATCAATTAGTAAAAATCCTGGGCTTAAAATCTAGCCAATCAAATCACGTGTCTGCAGAGCTACCATCTCCTCATACCTAGGCCCCGCAGGCTTAGAGGGAAAGACGGCTCTGGGAGCGAAAATGCACTCCTCAACTCCCCCGCACTTAAACCTAATTATTGCACACTTCCTTATGACTGAAT